TCCAATAAACATGTATTTTTCCATTTCAGTCTAGGTGTTTAGTCTGTAGTTTAGTGGGTTCATGGGATATCTATCATATTAAAAAATAGCAGATGAATTATTATTTGCAATCGTATAAATAGAAATTCAATTTTGTAAAGAAGTGAGAGTTTCTATAATAACAAAAATATGAGAAGAATTAAGCCATGGAGATATGGAACTTATTAATCTGTTTATTTAATAAAAGAATATTTAAATCAAGGTACAATCAAAATAATATAACAGTGAAAATGATACAGCAGAATTACTCTGATCATATTATTTGATTACTTCTCTCTCATTCACATACTGTTTATTATGCCTTGCATATCAATGATCTACAAACAACAAATTGGGAACTATTGTTCCTCATTATTACTTTTACACAGAGCTACTGAAATTTCAACCATTTTTCTATTATTTGAATCAAAATAATTTTACACACATATACATATATACACATATAGTTGTTAGGTGATGCTAATTTAACAAGATATGAGAATCATTGCAAGCTGAGTGATATACAAGTTTAATAAATTAGTATTATGGTTGTTTTCACAATCAGTCAGATGTTTAGACTGGATGTGGCATGTTTGTCCATCTATCAAGTCCTTCTCAAGGATAGGCAGTTGTTTGATAATGTTAAAGGTGTTGTCGCATGATGTAAGCTGTTCCAAGTACAGCTAGCTGCCTTTTTCAATTGAGTGGTGGTGATTTTGTAAAAGGTAGATTTACTTAGAACAGTTTACTTGCTGTGAAGAATTGTTCTTGTAGGAAACTTACTTCTCACAAATGTTTTGTTTTCATTTTATGCATCTAGACATAGAGTGTAAAGGAAGTGTTCATATTAGAAACTAAATTAAGCTTTAATTTCCTTCTCACACATACATGCACATACTCATGTTTTGCCTCTCTTTTAGGATTTACTTGCATGTTCTGAAAATGTTAAAATGATAAGCCACATCCTGTACCTTTATCTGAGAGCCAAATGCAGGCTCAACTCAATCTGTTTAATACATAATTCACGTTCGTATACATTTTATCTTTGCATATGCTGCAAGGAAACAGGAAATGTGCAGTTCAAAATGTTAAAGCAGAATACATTTTATTAAGAGCTAAAGCAATAAATTAAATCCACTTATGAACTGAGGATCCCCCCCCCCGAATTGTTCCAGACTGTTTATTTAGTAAAATGAAGGGCTTTATTGGTTTCTCAGAGGATTGTTATTAATAAAAGTGAATTTTAATGAAATGGTAACATTTCCACATAGCTAATCTATAAAAGAGGAAATGCCCCATTTTTATAAGTTTATATTAAAGTCATTTTATATTCTGCTTTATCAGAAGAAAATTAACTTGGAGACTGTGCGTGAAAGGACGGTCCTGACAAGGTTGTTGTTTTCTTCCTGTGATTAAAGCCTGCATCCACTTCTAGCGTCATAAATTTATAGAGCAGATTCTGTATGTGGCACTGAATAAAATTTGGAACAGCTTTTAATAAGCTACCTGTACTTTGTTCTTTCTTTTCACAGAATCTTAATCTTAAAAAGGCTATTTATATTATTATGCTCTGTATAATGCAGCACTCCAATTCAAGTATCCATTACAAATTACTGTCTAGTATCCACTTAAACATAACACTGTGAAGGAAATCCAACATCTGTTTGGGCAGCTTCTTTCTTTTCTCAACTATTCTTATTTTGGGGGGGATTTTTGTTTATTTATTAAAAAATAAATCTATTATTCGCTATGTTGACACTCTTTATTTGTATGTTTTTGGACTCAGCCCACTCTAGAGCTACGTATTCTCAGGCCCATGTTTCTCTTCATGGGATTTTATTTGTAGTACTCTGCTTTTATTGTTGACTTATTATTTTTCTGAATAATAGTAACACTATAGCTTTTATTTGTTCTTCTATGAGCTTTCACCCATATGCATCCAATAACAAAGTACATTTATTCTTTTAGATTTCTAATCAGATCCCTTCCCTTTTTTCCTATTTTTGCTGTTCTTTGTGAATAAACTATCTTCTATCTTCCTTTGGAATTTGTCTCAATTTTGCCTATTATATAAAAGATATCTTCTTGTACTAACTCTTATTCTAGAATTTTAAATTCCACCTTGTTTATTTTTCATAGCATTAAAGTCTAGAGAACAAAGAACTTTATGAACTAAGTATCTAGTGGTCATCCATGGCACTGGCTCAAGAAAAGCACATGGTGAATATGCTGCTGCCTCTGGCCAAAGATCAGTGAACGCTATTCTCAAATTTTTCAGCACAAAGGAGGGATACTATGTTCCTGTTGCAATTAAGCTCTTTCTGGCCAAGTCGCCAGCACAGCTTCTTTACGGGACCTTGCTCAATACAAATTTATTAGAGCAATTCTCCAGATCCCATGTTGTGTCTCAAATGCACTTCTGCACCTGGAGACAGAATTGATAAAAGTTGAAGCAAGAATCTGTATAGCTTATTCAAATCTTTGGCTAAAGCTTAATTTGATTTTTAATTGAATGTTTTTTATTCTAGGCTGTGCACCGCCCTGAGTCCAGCAGGAGAAGGGCGGTATAAAAATTTAAATAAACAAACAAATAAATAAATAAATAAATAAATAAATAAATAAATAAATAAATAAATAAATAAATAAATAAATATCTTTCCGCAAGGCCTTGCTCCATTAATCCTCTAAGAGAAATTCTCCTCTTCATGGATCAAGGCTGTTGAGTTCAATCTTGCCAAACTAGGCTTCTCTGCAGCCTCAATACTTAAGTTGGAGGATGACCAAGCAAAACAAACATTGTGACAAAGGGTTGAGGACATCAAGAGGCAAGCAGACTTAGGGAAAGCTCCATTGTTTAAGCTCCAGACTGTATTAGATACGGTGTTACTCCTGCCAGTTATCTTAGTCAGTTGAAGATGACAAACTACCAGAAAGCATTTCACTTGCACTGTACCATATACTTCCATCAGCCATCCTGCAGGCAAGTATAAAAAGGTATCATTGAACTGAAAGCTTCTGCTCCTTGGCTCAGAAGAGGTGGAGACCATTGGACACAAACTCCTTCGATGCTCTTTCTATAGAGATATTAAAAAAAAACATATTCTCCCAATAATTGATAGGTATCCTGGTTGTTCTGTCACTGCTTATCTCTAGTGGCTGCTTAAGGACAGACAGACTGTGATTACAATGCAGGTAGCTAGATTCTGCACTGCAGCACTGTGGTTTCGTCAGAAACATGTGATTAATCCACCATAGCTATTTTACACAGCCAATGTAGCAAACCCTTTTGCGTTACTACTCTTTTGCATTTTAGTATTTAATGACTACAGGCCTCACAGTTTAAGGACTGATATTATAGTGTAGATAGACCATGTATAACTGACAGATTGGATGCCAAATTGTGGTTTTAATATAGATATTATCTGTTATTTATTATTTTATTCTAGAATTTTTAACTGGATATTTCTTGAGTGTTTTTATTTGTTCTGGTCTCTGGTCTTTGACTGTAATGAACTTGGTTTGATTTGATTTGATTTATGAACTAATCATAGCAATGATTGTATAGTGAATTATTCAGTAGGCCAATTTCAGCTCCATCTAACAATACGTTTATTTTATTTATTACATTTATTTGCTACCCATCTTGTTTAGAAGCAACTCTGGGTAGCATACAGCTTTAAAATAATAAAAGATAAAACAGTTTAAAAATGATAAAAAATGGAAATTACAAAGAAAAATAAAATTATAGTTAAAAGATGTGGAGCGGGAAGCAGGATGGAGGGAAAAACTGGGATTACCTCTTAATTAATTCAACCTTCTCCAGTGTGATTCTCTCTCATTGGTACCCTAAGCAATCTGGTAGAGCTCAGTCTTCAGGCTCTTACAGAAAGTCCCGAAGGATGGGAGCCAATGTTACCTCAGGGGGTAAGATGTTCCAAAGGGCAGCTGCCATAGCAGAGAAGGCCCTTCTCCTATATCCCACCAGCCAGAATTCTTTGACTGACAGGACCCACAGTTCATCTGAGGTCCATACTTTAGATTCTTAACAAATTTCCAACTATTTTTCTTCCTTTTCTGTTCTCTTTTATAAACTGAAGTGAAGGATGGGAACCACCAATAAAAACCTAGAGTTTACTTACCTTCTTCATAGAGATATGTTTTAGTTAGTCTTTGCAGTTTTCCCACAGGAATTAAAAGACAGGCATTTTTGTCAGTAGATTTTATAAGTCTTAAATGATTGTCCCAATCTCTTCTTAAAAACATCCAGCATTGGAGCGCTCATAACTTCTAGAGGCAAGTCGTTCTACTGATAAAAGACATTTCTCCTTAGTTCTAGGTTGGTTATCTCCTTGATTTGTTTTCACTCATTGCTTCTTGTCTTGTCTTCAGGTGCTTTGGAGAATAGGTTGACTCCCTCTTCTTTGTGGCAGGCCCTTAGATATTGAAACATTGCATCGCACCTAATGCTTATTTTATTAAACTAAGTATACCTTTTCCTTCAACCATCCAGCCTCCAGTCCCTAATCAACTTTGTTGATATTATATTTTGTGTGTGTGTGTGTGTATGCGTGTGTTTGTATATACATACATACATATTTCTTCCCTGACTTTTTCTTCATCTGAACTCATCAGCAAATTTATGTTTGTTTCATAATGATTTTAAAATGTTAGAATAAAAACTATTAAGGTTTGTCATCTCCCAAAGTTGCATTAGAGGTATGGTTACGGATCGAAAACTCAGACATGTGTATATTGGGTATATTTAGTTATGTGTTTCTATGAAAAATTAAATTTATAGGTTATATTCATAAGAAAGGATATTTGTGAAGTTGTAGTAGCTGATTATGGATGGTTTCAAATCATGCTTTTTAAAGGACCATCAACTTTTGGTGAAGTAATATCTGTGTTCATTTGTAGGATGTTATGTGTAATAAATCTGGATTTTCCCTCTTTCTGTATTTTTTTTTTTTTTTTTGTATCAGTATTACGGGATGATTTCCGCCAAAATCCTACAGATGTTGTTGTGGCAGCAGGCGAACCAGCTATCTTAGAGTGCCAACCTCCTCGAGGACATCCTGAACCCACTATCTACTGGAAAAAAGACAAAATCCGAATAGATGATAGAGAAGAGAGAATAAGTGTAAGTAGATCATACAACACTAAATCTCTGTGAATTACTAAAGAACAAATCCCACTACGGATTTTCAAGACAATTGTTAAAATACATGGCTTTTCATGCAATATACAAATGTATTATACAGCAACTAGAAGTTCTAAAATTTGCTTCATAAAATAAAAATAGCAAAGAATATGTATGCAAATTTACAGAAATAATTACTGTAGTTACCACTATATAAACAGAATAGTAGGCTCAGTGAAACAATATACTTCATTCAGTAAGTTATTTGGCTGATAGAAGTGATGTGTTTCCCTTCATTGAAATGAACAGACCCTTGATGGAACAAAGTACTGCATGAGAAAACTTGCTTTTAGCCTTCTCCCCAAGTTCATCCAAATGTTTCCACATTGGACAATTTTGGGTTCCTATAGCATGCACCAAGGTAGCTCCAGGCTGGATAAGTGCAGCAGATAGTGCAGGATTGCACATAGTATATGTTGGAACTGGTCATCTTGGAAAACCATCCATATATGCCAAAGTCTCCAATAAGTTGGCTTTAGGCATAGTGCAGGATTCCTCTGCATCACTGATCAACTGGTAGTGCTATTAACACACATCTTACCTCTTCAGTGGTTGATAGAACATTCAGAGATTGGAAGGAAATGACAGGTATAAAACATGGAGAAAACTCCAGGTTGTATGGCTGAAATTTGGATGTTGCCCATTCTCTGCTGTTATCTATAAAAATTGTGAAGACAGTTGTGAAGGACTGTTAACCCAGTCCTTTGATAAAGGAAAGACTCATTGCTTCATTCTGCTTGCCATTTTTTATTTTATTATTTTAATGGGGGGGGGGTGTTTGATTGTTATGAGCCACCCAGAGTGGTTGAGATTCAATAAGCATATACTGTAAGTTTAAGAAATTATTGATATTTTGGTTGATTGCGTTGTCAGCCTGATGCTTAGACTGAAATTGGCATTTTTAACTACCTATCAAGTCCTCCCCAAGGACCTGGGATAAGCAGGTGTTGATGTTTTATGGTGTTAGAGGTATCATCACAGGTTGCTATTATTATTTTCATTATTATCTGTTTACAACTCTGCAATGTCAAAGCTGCCAGTTCTTTAGCTGGTCTAGGCCTTCATATTCATTGAGTTCTACCAAATAACCTAGGGTGATATAATGTATCAGCATAGCAAATGTGAAGATTCAAGCAGTGTGATCTTTTGTGAAAATTAAGTCAATGTAAAGATTTTCTAAGTGCTAAAAGTTTTTGATATGGCACCAAGTATGCCCATAATCACTGGGACCACCAAAATCAGTTTACACCATAAATTTTCAGTTTCACTTTTCACATCTTGATGTTTTGTGATCTTTATTTCTTTGTCTTTTATTCTGTCATTCCCCTGATAATGCCACATCAATTACCCATATATATTTTTTCTTTTCAACAACAGTTATATCTGGCTTCAATGTTATTTGGAAGTCCCACAATGTTTTAACCTGATAATTTTCAACTAAATTACAACCATATGTTTCCATCAATTGTTGCTGTTTTTGTTGTTGTTGTTGTTATTATTATTATTATGATTCATCACACAGTCAGCCAGATTTCAGACTGGATTTGACATTTTGGTTCTCCTATAAAGTTCTTTCCAAGAACCTAGGATACACATATATGGTGTTATAGATATTGTTGCAGGATATTTCTTCACAGTCTATAGAATAAACCAGGGCCATCAACTGTATGTATGTATGTATGTATGTATGTATGTATGTGAATGGACAGACGGACAGATAAATAAATGACAGTTTAGTTTAATGGTTAAGGCTTGATTTCTAGGAGAATGTGGGTTCTAGTCCCATTAAAGCTGGCTGGCTTTGGTTTGGTCACTGTCAGCCCACATTGGGTTCAGGCAACAAGCCATTCCTATCGCAATCAATGGATCAACACTTGATCAGATGTTCAGACTGGATTTGACGTTTTTGTTCACCTATTGAGTCTTTCCCAAGAACCTGGGATAGGCAGATATGGATGTTTGATATAAATTATTCCAAGTAAAGCTGCCTTTTGCGAATGACTGATGGTGAATTTGAATGATGTTCAAGTGGTGCTCCAGTTGTTTTGGGATTGTACCTAAGGCATATATCACTATTGGTACTACTAACTTTGCTTTCTGTTGCCACAGTCGTTCTATTTCTAATTATAGATCTTTGTAGTTTGTCATTTTCTTCAGTTCTTTATCTTCTTTTCTGCTGTCTCCAAGTACTGCCATGTCCACTATCCAGACTTCTTTGTCTTTCTTATCGGTGATTTTTAAGCCTGGCTAATTATGCAGCAGATCTTGACTGTTTGAATTCTAAAGTCCCAGAGCACTTTTTATTATGTGTTCATCGTACAGTCAGCGAGATATTTAGACTGAATGTGGTATTTTTACCCACTTGGCATGGTTATTGTTCCTTCAAATGCACAGTCCTCTATATTTAAATGAAATTAAAATTAAGCACTATTACTATTCATTTCTAGGTATCTCAGGGAAAATTTCATAGTGCATAACAAGTTATCTTTCTTAATTTTTTAATAATAGATACGAAGTGGAAAGCTCATGATTTCAAATACAAGAAAAAGTGATGCTGGAATGTATACTTGCGTCGGCACAAATATGGTGGGAGAACGGGATAGTGATCCTGCAGAACTTACTGTTTTTGGTAAAGGAATTCTAAAATACATTAATGTTTCTGTCAACTGACCCAGTCAATGTTATTTGGAAGTTTTGTTAAATAACAAGTGTCCTGAAACTCTTTTTTAATAGCTTTGTGCCTTTGCCCTGACAGCTAGAGTTATAGATCTATAGCTAGTTTTATTAATATAAATATGCCATAATTAAACTTATATATTTTTCTCTTATATTTTTCTCTTGTACTTAGGTAGTTCAACATGCTACATTGGTGTTGAAACATAATAAAGATATTATTATTACTTCAGTTACTTTGTGCAAACTATTTCCCACAATGTCTAATGATAAAAGTCTAGGAATTAATTTTTAAAATATAAAAACACAGAAATTAAACCAAAAATGATATTTTCAATTGACTGCTTATATTGGTTCCTGTTAGAAAATTATCAAATATATTTGATAAAATATTATCCCAGCTGATAGAAATTTCAAATTCTATTGTTTATTAATATTAATTCTACTGTACTGTACTGTACTCAGTTCTGTTCCATTCCACTCCACTCCACTCCACTCCATTCCATTCCATTCTATTCTTTCCATTACTGATAGAAAAAAAAATATTTATAACACTACAGGAAACTGAATCAGGTAGATTATACTAAGTCTGTCTATACTACTGTAGGTCTGAAAAATGTCTGTCTCAAATAACTAAGTGGTATGATCATTTTATTTTAGGCATTTTATATTGCTTTCAATTCCTTGTTTTAGAAAACTATTCCTATAAATAATGACCATGTTCTAAAAATAAAATTGAAAAAGAAATTAAGGTTATCTGGATATAGAACAGATGCAGAACAAAGTTATTCAATAAAATTTACTGGAAATGCATAGAAAATGCTAATGAATTAGAAGAAAGTGAAGCTGCTGAATATTAAATGTATAAGTTGTTTTCTTACATACTGGCTTTTAGACATTTGCAGGATGTATTCCTTTATTTTGGTTTTAAAATGTTTTCTACCAGTATCTAAAATTAATTCTAGCATATCACTTGGAACTGGTATCTAGGTCACCATACAAGGAATTTAGCTTGAGGCATAGCCTCTGGTAAAAATGGGTAACAGAAAATAAAACATTATCAGGAGTTCAGTGAATATACTGTATGCAGGAAGACCAAAATTACAATCACATTTGAAGAAGTTTTCATAAATAAGTTTGGCATACTGATATCATAAATAGGTATATAACTAGGTAAATTAAAAGATATTGTTTTCAACCACACAGACATTAGGAAGGCAACTGGCCAGTAAAAGCTCAGCTCCATCCAGTTGCCCCGACTCTACGCAAAATTAAGAGATTACAGGGTCATAAAAAGAGTTACTGATATAATCATTGCAAGTTAATATTGAAAGGAAATTGCATGCGTTTTCCTGTGTGTTAACAAGAAGCATTTCCATTCTCAGTTCTTCTGACATAATTATTACTGTAGTTGGTGTTTAGATTTAATCAGCATAAACTCATTAAAATCAATGTTGTTGAGCAATTTTATTGCTCAAAGGATGGCTAAATCTAGACTCCAAACATGTTGTGTTGATATTCATAATATTTTGTAGTGTTTGCTTTAAAGATAAAAAGTTTTGAATTTTTCAGATTTTTATACCTTAAAGAAAATATGTGCATTTAACTACATATGTTGGTTTTGATTCAAAACATATAATTTATATCATGTTTGCTTTTATTCACAAATAATATTATATTAAACTCTTTAAACTTCAATTCTTAAGCTTGCCATATTTGAAAAGAAATGATTGAGTGCATGAAACATCTTCTGCCATATTTATCTCTTCAGCATGCAGGATATTGCCATAGTTTACTTGAGTGTATGCAATTAGATTCTGATCTGTGGTTTTGTACTATGTATATTTCTGCTTCTATATTTCTGCTTCTATATGACAACATTCACCCACAGCATCCACACATTCACCCAAAAGATTATGTCAGTTTTCAGAAGCAACTTTTTCATGACCATGGGAGTTTGGTGTAGGGAAGGCCTGGTTAGATTTAGAGGAGAAACTGACAAATAATAGATATCCCACCTATCAGAATGAAATTGTATAATTATATATCATTCTGCATACTGGAACAAAATAAAGTATAAATAATAGATTACTTTAAGCTTCATTTGATCTGAGATAAAGATCCACAGTCATTTGCTTAGATCCTGTTCATTAAACATTGGCAGTTCAGTTTATTTGTAATTTGACTCTTTCCTTTTACTTAAGTTACATGGGAAAGTATTAATTAGTAATTAGGAAAGTATTAATTAATTAATTAATTAATTTGAAAGTATATTCAAATTAATGAGAAAGAATTAAATAATTAAATAAACAAAATAAATAATGATTCTTCATCTTCCAAAGTGAAAGAAATATTATTGGATTAGCAATTTTTGACAAATGTTGTATGTTTTATTCAATGTTGTACATGTATTCTCTTGTGAATGCCATTAATACCCTAAACTTTGGTATACAAGTACTCCTCAACTTATAACCAGTTGCTTAGTGACTCTATGAAGTTGCGGTAGATAGCCCCAAAGCTGTTTATGACTCAGTCCCGAAGTTATGATCATTGCAGTTGCTTGCCCTTATGACCAACTGCTGGGATGTTGCAGTGCCCCCACACATTTATCAGCCATATTGGGGAGAGAAGAGACAAGGCTCTCATAAGACAAGTGATTATATGGGCATTTCACTTAATGGCTATCATGACTTCCAATACTAATGGGCAGGCCCCATTACAGTTGTAGTCAATGATTGTCTATATATGTTAATCAAGTATCTGAGAAAAATTGCTAAGCTATGAAGCTTATTTATAACAAGCCAGAGTTCATATGACTGACAAAATTATCTCTTCTGATTTCTTTTATATGCATTTCTTCTCTAAGGCCTGTATTATTTAACATAGAAACATTTTGGGAGATAAGAAAGATATATTTATTCAACTGTTATCTAAAAAAATGCTTTATTTAATATAGAATATATGTCTTCATTTTAATTTAAAATTATTAATGTAATGATGCCACTCAAATTTATGGATACATTATTTATTTATTCATTCATTCATTCATTTATAGAAAAAACTTTTCACCTTTTTTGAAATTAGCATTGCTGCACTATGAAAAAAAAATATTGGATATACCAGAGAATTGCCTCCTTTTATCCAATGAGCGACTAACATTGTAAAAATGTTGTGCATCTGATTTAAATCCAGTTGATATTGTTGTCTATGCATGTACAATATGTGCTTTTGAATATTCAACAAGTCCCTTCAGTTTTCTTGGCAAGATTTTCAGAAATGGTTTATCCTTGCCTTCTTCTGAGAATGAGTGGTCAAAGTCATTCAGGTGGGTTCTTATCTAGGGCAGGACTAGCACTCACAGTTTTTAGCCCAGTACCTTTAACCACTACAGCAAACTAGCTATTAATATTATATAAAGAATGTTAATTGAATAACATTATTCTAAACATTTTTTTCATAAATTGAATAATGGAACAATCATGTTGTATGACTAATATATAAGCACAAAAGAATCAATAATTTACATATTCTTGCCTAATAATAGACAAAATGTAGAAATGATGTACACACACAATAATGAGTATTTTTGTGAAATATAAAGTCATTTATATATGTATGTATTTATTTATTTATTTTGTACCTTGCCACAATCTTTTGATTCTCAGTGGCTTACATGGTATGAAAACCAAAAAAAGGAAGGCATTCATGAAACAATATAAAATACTCACTTATTTGTATATAAAACACAAATCTGAGAAACACTAAAAATAACAACTCATTAAAATTAAATAAAATCTTGGCCCAAGCAGGTTAAAGATTAAACTTCATGACTGTTAATGAGAATAGGGAAATGTTTTAATAAATCACTAGGCAATGCATTTATTCTGGGCTGGACTGTTTTCAGTATTTGAAATGAAACATAGCCATTTTATTTAATGTGGAACTCTTGTTTTCAAGAACGACCCACATTTCTCAGAAGACCAATCAACCAAGTGGTTTTGGAAGAAGATGTTGTTGAGTTTAGATGCCAGGTACAAGGCGATCCTCAGCCATCAGTTCGCTGGAAGAAAGATGACATTGATTTGCCAAGAGGAAGGTAAGAAAAATGCTAATTAATTCATAGGGCTTTTAGGATTGCCACACTTATTCATATGAAATATTATTAATCAGGAAAAAGCATATTGGTTAAAAGGATTCTATTATTTATTTACCTCTATTAATAAGAACACATGTTCTTAAGGAAATACAGTTTTGTAATTAGGGATACTTACCCCTTAAGCAGTAATTCTTCAGATCTCATTGCAGGCCCCAGAACACCCAGAAATTTCATCAATAAAATGTGATGGTAAAAATGATTGATTGTAGGGTTAATGCAATGTTCACTTATGTTTATGAGTTTATGAGTTTAGGAGTGTAAATGAAAGCACAAGAGCCAGTTTGGTGTAATGCTTAAGACACCAAAGAGTGGGAGTTCTGGTTCTACCTTAGGCACAAAGCCAGTTGAGTGACCAGTCACTCTCTCTCAGCCTAGGATGTTAATGTCAAACCATTTCCAAATAGCCAAGAAAACTACAAGGGTTTGTCCAGGCAGTCTCCAGGAGTCAAAATTGATTCAAAGGCAAATACACACAATGAAAACATTTCTAATCCCAATCTGAGAAATCTGAATGAAAAGTCATATGTCACTGGAAGTTTTACAATCTAACAGCAAATCAGTAGTATGAACTGAAGCAGAAAATGTTGCTTAACCATACAATAAAGGAATAGGATCTCTCTGCTCCTTTATGTCACTCTTGCACAATATTCTTTTTATTTTAGATTTACTAAATAATTTCACTAAAATTTAATAACTTGATTAAAAAAATGATTGGATCAGATATGATGTTAGCTTGACCGCACTAAGTAAAGCAATACTAATAATGCATAATCCAGAGAATCTTTATTGTTATGTCACTTGAAAGAGTAACACTTAAATAAATTAAACATTGTAAATAAATTAAATATTCAAACTACCTAATCCTACATAACTAATTTTCCTGAGCATTCTATACAAGTATGGAAAATACTTTAGGAAAATGCAGTATTAATAAAAGTATAGTGTAAAAGGATATAATATTTATAATGGAACATGCTCTTACTACTTTCTGGAAATATAACTATTTCTTTTTATAACCTCTGCTTCAAAATTTTCATACCTGGATATTTGTTTCCAAACCTTATAAACCTAATTTTAAAAATCAGTGGTTTTAAATTTCTGTTTGATTGGGGTTTTAAAGTTATTTTTTTAATTTGGATATGGCTGCATTACTTCCCTCCTTCCTGCCAGAAGTGCAATGCTATGAAATTCCAGTTTTCTATGAAGTTTCTGCAACTTCAGGGTCTGCTGTTTTAGGTCAACCAAGTGTTGATCCAATGATTGCAATAGGAATGGCTTGTTGCCTGTACCTAATGTCATGGGCTGTCAATGACTCAACCAAGGCCAGCCAGCTTTAATGGAACTAGAACTCAGTCTCCTGGAAATAAAACCTTAACCACTAGACTAAACCATCATTTATTTATCTGTCTGTCCATCCTTATACATACATACATACATACATACATACATACATACATACATACATACATACAAACAATTGATGGCCCTGGTTTATCCTAGAGACTGTGAAGAGACAATGTCTCCCAAGTATCTGAGGGCAGGCAAAAGAACAAGTGAGTTAAAATATAAGAAAGCAAATTTTGATTGAACCTCAGGAAAGTTTTCATAATAATAATTACTCTTCAACAATGGAACTGACAGTGTCATTATTTAATGCTTTTCTCTAGTTCCTTTACTAGTTCAACTACTTAAAAAGATACTGCATGGCTCTCTACTAAGCAAGGATCCATAGTAGATTCCTGCATTGGGAAGAGTTCCAACCATTGCATTATGAAATGAAATGCCATTCTAAAAGCATTTTGAAAATGTAAAGTGAACAATATGAATATTGATGAGTTTTCAGTGATTTATTATTATGACTAGTTTTCTTCTTTAATGTGTGTTTGACACATTTATACTGAGGGGCAATGAATTCTATAAATGATGGAAAGTATTGGTAATTACTTCCAGTTAAATTCAACCTGACTTATGTGTTGAGTGTGCCACTTTATTTAAGCTTAGATACGAAACCAATATTACAGACTGAAATATTTGGTGTGGAAATGGCATTTCCTTGGCTTAACATTTAATAACATTTGATTACAGTTTGTGCTGCACTTCATGTTTTCTAATTTCTAGCAAAGCCTAAGAGACCAGCTGCATAACTGTAATTATGTAGCAAGTAATATAGGGGTTTTCCCCTTAGAAATAAAATACTTTTAGTTACAGATTGGAATGTATGAAATTTGTTAATAACAATTTACATAGAACATGATAGCAAGGCTAGTTTTGTGAGACTGAACTAATGTACAGACAGAATGAATGTGTCAGTTTCCTTAATATATATCCTTAAAGTATCTATTTTATGGGTGGTGGGATATTCCTGCTCTGAGCAGCTGGCTCAGTAAATACCTTTTTAATGAAATTACAATTGGTATTTGTATGTTGGATGTGTAGATATTTCATGTTAACTGACAAGAGAACTGAAGGTAGCAACAGCTATAAACTACTAACAGGAAAAAGCCATTTCTTTAAATTTATTCTCTGTAGTGCAATAAATAGAACAATGCAAGAAAACATGGTAAACTAAAAATAATATGCAATTTGCCCTGCTTCTACAATGAAATGTTACGTTGCTATGCATTATTACATAAAAGAATTCTTTTGGCAACCTAAGAACCAGTTCTGTTTTAATGGAAAATTAAGAAAAGATCTCTGGTTTCATTTTGCTTTGGTATCTAGCAAATATATTCTTTCTGAAAATGGAAAAAGATAAAAGTTAAATGGAATATTATCGCTGGTTAACTTGATAAATAAATAAAGTTCCTATCATTAATGCCATAAGACATTCTGCATTACCCATCCAAACTATTTCCATTTCCTTTTGCTTTTCACCAGGCAATGTACCAAAAGTAGCATATTGTTATTATTTCGATCTCCTCCTCTACAAGTGAAACAAAATAAATAAAATAAACAGTGCTATAAAGATTCTTTTGCAGTGTCTGAAGGTGGTGGGAAGAGCAGGCTCAGGTTGGGCTCAACCTTGGCAAGATGGAGTAGCTATGAATTTTGTAGTCCTCCCTCCCCTCAGGGGCCAGGGCTTACTATATTTCGCTATGAATGGAGTAGCATTCTCCTACTAATTTACAAATAAATTGGAAAAAATGTTTTCTATATGATATAAAGGAATTAATGTTGGTCATATGAGCAGATTTTCTGTTTTATTTAATAATAATGAGCAATATTAAATGAAAGTTGGAGAAAAAAATATTTTTCCGCTATTAAACATAGCTCTTTAAATATTTTGTCTTTATAAACCTATACTGTTTTCAGATTTTCAGCAGTATACATCAAGGAGATTTATTTCTTTTATGAAATGAATAGAGTAGGTCAGAGAATGCTGTTAAAACCTTGACAATAGAAGGGACAAAGCTAATATATTATTTCTGTGTTTGTGTGAGATGGAATGTCAGAAAATATATATTATCAGATATAGTTTATAATGAATTAACCTGACAGCTTCTGAGCTCTGTAGTGGCTAAGGAAGGATCTTCAATTTGATATAGTTATACTATCTTTGGTTAACAGAAAATTAATAGTAGAAGGCATGTTAATTTTATTTGGAAATGGTTATTAAAAAGAAATGCTGATGTTGAAAATTTTATCATTTCTTGCCTAATTTAACCATTAATCATTGCTCATTAAAAGAAAAACAAGTGGAGTCTCTTATTTTCTTCAAAGAAAATTCACTACTGTGTGTTATAAACTGAGATCCTGGAAGGTTTGAAATTCCAGTGCTTAAGGGCTGAATTACAATATCAAAAAAGTAATACAGGCTTTCAGAAGAATGTGCTTCTAAGAGGATTGAAAAAATAGTTATGCTTTCACTGGAATTTGGAATTTGGTAGGTGTTATTTGCAATGAAGACAACAGACAAACAAATTATTTTACAAAAACATTCTTTGGTATTGTTTCTAAGCTCTGCTAATAAGCATATTATTGATGAAAGCATGATTATAATGCTATAAGTATATAAATATAATAGTACCGTAATACATGGATGTGAGCTTTCTATTGCTTCGTTGTCCATTTAATAATAATATTAACAAATATTATCTTTAATATTTTATGCTTTTTAATGATTTTCTTCCCTTGCTCACAATACATGTTGTTTGCTAAAACAGTTATATGAAAATATTAATTGCATTTATATATTAAAATGCATACAGTGTGCAATTTTCAAAATTGGATTGTTAATATTCTTCCCAAATCATGGCCCTAATGGGATTTTGGACCTATAAACCATTGCTTTTTATTTTAATACTTTCCAGTCATTTTTTAAAGAAGCATAGCTTGACAATATTTGGCCTACTCCTTTAGACTTAAATTACCCTTAAATGGTTCCCTACATAGGAAAAAAAATCTTATAATGTTTTAAAATCAAGTAACTGAGGCATGTTGGCTATTACAAATACTTTATATTATCTGATACTACTGTATATATTAATTCAAATAAATTTATTGTACAACTATGTACAAGTAAGTTTCCTTGAAATTAATACTTCTTTTGTTGGCAATTTTTATGTAATTGTAATATTTTTTTTCAAAACAATGGTTTTGACTACAAATTCCATGGTTTATGATGTTGGAAGAAAATAAGTCAGACAAATGGCTTTTTAAAAACAACAACATAATTTCCTGGAATCTATTCAATTACACCTAGTTGCCACCCAAATAAATAAAAATTGGTTATCTTTGCTCTCGTAACAATGACTATCTCATGCATACCCATACAGAGACACAGAAAATCAAGAATATATGATTAGGAAGAATAGAGCTGTGCTAGGAAAACAGTTCAGTGGTATAGTTCAGAGTATAATAGTCATTCAATTCTGCCTGTCAATCCTCCAAAGACCAGCGAAGCTTACCAAAGTTACATATGCTATTACTTAGTGGTGGGA